GCCCTACATGGCATGGGACCGGGTTACCTGAGGGACCATCTCACCCCCATTATATCAACCTGTCCCACCCAGTCAAGCAGAGAGAGTATGCTGTGGACCCTGTTGATGAAAGAATGTTGACTGGCGGGGCCCAGAAAGAGAGCCTTCTCTGCCATGGCCCCAGCCCTATGGGGTACCCTTTCCCCAGAGGTGACGCAGGGCCCTACTCTTGTGACCCTCTGGAAAGCAGTCAAGACCTGGCTCTGCCAACTGGCATGGGGCAAGAAAAGGGGCAACCAATCCAGGGGGTGGCTAGCACCTTGAAGATGCTCCCATATGTTAATATCTTTTCAACAGCAGCATCTTGGAAGAGATTATTATTTATGTATGCATCTGGTTTTATTGGATTTTTATACTATTTTCATTCTATTTTAACTAATATTTATTTGCTGTTTTTATTGTAAACCACCCAAAGTCACTTCCTCATGAGATGGGCGGTGTCTAAATTTGAAATATAAATAAAATAAAATTGTCTGCAAAAAGTTTCCCACCTCCATAGTAACTTATGGAAATATGAAATTTTGCAGTGTCTTACATAGCATGAATCCTTTTCTTTCTAGAGTTAATTCTAAATAGTTGCAGGGGTATGGGCCAAAGCTTTAATATAAAGTGTCAACTCCACAGTGGGATAAATTATAGGCTTAATTTTTTTTATTATAATGTCTCTTTCTGATTTAGATACCCAGTGTTATAAAACATAAATTAGTTTGGGTTATGAAGACTGCAAACTGCATTGGAGCAGAAAACTACAAGGAAGATCTCAAATTGTCAGAATTATCTGCACTACCCTTGGAGCATGTAATGGTATTCTTAGAGGAGGTACTGTTTATTTGTTTTGCTTACATATAACATTTACAGATTATGTTTTCTGTGGAAGCTCAAGGCAGTACACATGAAGATTTCACCTCATTTTATTCTGTGAATTAGATTGTTGGGAGTTGGTGATTGGCCCAACATCACGTAGTGAGTTTCAGGGTTTAGCAAGGACCTGAATCTAGATTCCCCCACTTTAAAACTATTTCAAAGGGCTTCTGTTTTTTTAACTCTTGGATCTTAAATTCTGTATATTCAATACTAGGCAAATAACTTTTAATAAAAGTTGGGTTTAAAGAACTTTAAAAAGAATTTTTGTAATATGTTATCCTAACATTTTTCTACTAGAAAAGGATTGGCTGCCAAACAGCCTGTTCTTTTTGGAGATCTGGAGGTTGAGTCATGGCAACTGGACTTCTTGTCCAAGCAGCGAAACGTATCAAACCAAAAGAAAAGTCCAGTTCCCATGACTCAACCTCCAGATAATTCCACCTGGATGACTGAGAATCTTCATCAACATATTCTTTTTGGAGAGTACCAGACCTCTATCTTCTGAATGTACAGTTCTCATTTTTAAGAGTGTGGAAACTCTTGCTTAACAATATTAAAAAGACAGAATTTATATTGAAGGGAATTATGGTGGAAATGTTTAAAATATTTCGAATTTTGTAGAAAGCTGAGAGATGTAATGGTGAAAACAGCAAGAATACGCTTGTAACTGTTTTCAGGCAGTGTTACAGAGAATGTTTGGAACCTCAAATGCAGTGTGTTTGTAATGATGAAATAAGAAGTTGCGAATAAAGATTCCTGCTTTGAAACTTATTTGGGAGTATCACTTCCTCACTAGAGGATGATCAGTTTTCCTATACTGATACTGTGAAGAGCATTTGTTCCTTTGTCAAATGGAAGAGCTTTCCATTTGAAATGTGAAATTAGTTTGAAAAGAGTGCCTACTAGAGAGCAAATCTACTGATGGGCAAATTTATTTTTATGCTACTTTAAACTCTGAAGCCCATTATCAGCCTGTGTGGATGTCAATAGCTTTTACTGAAGAACTTGTTTGGTTACTCCATCATCAGAAATAAAATGGATGATGTCCAACGTCTTTTTTTCCTTCAGCAAAGAATTCACATGGCATTTATTCTTTAATCTGTTTAGTGCTGGGCAAAATTTGTCTTTTCTCCCAGACTTTAAACTAATTCTCAAATATGTTTAGTTGTGTTTTTCATAGCTCTGAATTTTAAAATCCTTGAGTGTTTTTATGTCATACAAAGTGCAGTATATAAATGCTGAAAAAAGTAAAATGTTGAATAAATCCATACTTAGCCACGGAAGGTCCAACAGCTTAGCACTAGTCATGGTCTCTTAGCTCAGCCTATCTTTCAGGGTTGGTGAAGGAAAAATGGGAGAATGCTAGGCAGATCGCTTTGAACTTCTGAAGAAAATAAATAAATGCTTTTGTCCTGTAGGTCAATAAGAAAAAAAAAGCAGCGAATGAAAGAAAAATAGGATGATAATACAATGTTGTGAATAGACAATATGCTTTGAAAACAAATTGGAAAAAGCTAAATAGCTATAATAGTATTGTTTACTTTCTGATTGAAAGATAAAATACATATTCACACAATTAATAAAAAGCATTTTTGAAGCTGCTATTAACAGAATGGAAAGCATTCCAGAAGACATGCTCTTTAATTGCCATCTTTAATGTACATTTTACGTATTTTATGTGTGTGTATGTGTGTGTGTGTACACACACACATACACAAGTTGGTCAAAGACAGTAATAAAGGTTTACCTACCTACCTACCTACCTACCTACCTACCTACCTACCTACCTAATGCAACATTAATATTGAGGAATAAAGCAGACTGGTGAGAGCCAGGAAATAGCCAAAAAAAATCTTGTTATGTCATAAGAATTATATTTTTCAAAATATGCTTGAGTTGGCAGTCTGTTATGTATCATACTATCTTTCTATTTTTTTTTCCTAATTGAAATAATATTTAAAAAATAAAACCACAATGGGACATGGAACTAATATGAATAATGTCTGCAGACACATTGGCACCTATGTGTAGCAGGATGGGCACCCATCTTACAGTGCATGAGATTCCTGATCTTATTGTTGAGTACTCCACCTTATTTCTAAATTGCATATTTTTTTACAGTACAATTTGTTCTACAGAAGCTGGCATAAGTTTGCATTTATCACTATGGAAGAGGTATTGCAACAAACAAACTTTTCGAATGTTATAGTTACAAATCATAGTCTTACTGGAACTGTTTATTTGATGATATATGGCATAGAGATCAAACATTTCACAACATCAAAAGTGCTTGATCAAATATTTAATGTTTGTGATTGATTAGCATTGAAGAGCAATCTTGTGTTAGAGACTAAATAGTTTTTTAAAAAACATTTTGAAAGTCTTGTAGAATGTACAGTATAAGAGACAGATCTGCTAACCATTTCATAATTAGTAAAATGTAAAATGTTTGCCAGTTAAAAACAAAATTCATTTTGCACCAGTATTGGGCTTAATATTTATATTAATATTCAGTACTCACAGTTTGTCTCATCTTTTTGGGGGGGCGGGGGGGGCAGCGCAGGGCTGGTAACAGAAATAATCATCTCACCAAAACCAATAATAAGGAAGTTGTTGCATTAACTGGAAAGGTGTTCATTTAGAATCTACTGTTTCCTAAATTCATTCAAATTTCATTTTAAAATTTAGATTTCACTATATAATAAATAATGTTTAATGGCTGTTCATATAATCAGTTTGATCTTGGGCTGCCTTCCATGAACAGAATGGAGTTCAATCCAATGTCATGGCATTTACATAGTAAAGGAAACACAATTTATCCCTGTAGTTTGAATCCTAAATGTACAGTCTGAAACTCAATTCAAGGGACTCTTCCATGAATGCAACAAGGCCAGAAAATGTTTCTCTATTTTCTCCTGGTAATCCCCTTTGCTACTTCTCATGTTCCTCTGGAAATAATCCCCAGAGCATGTATTTACAGAATGAAATGAGAATTGGCAAATAATGTTAGTAAGAGTTAATTTATGCAAAGTATGGCCCAGCTATCAAAGTTAATCCTTTTCTGATCTAAACTAGTCTCTAAATCATTTTTTAAATCAGATGGAAAATTCATAAAGTGTTATCCTTCCACTCTGTTTTCCCAATCAATGTTGAAGATTCCTGAAATCGTTTTAGAGTAACAGTAGAGGTGATGGAAAGCCCATGTCCTTCATACATCAAAGTTCATATTTCGTCTGAATCTGTACTTATTAATGAGACCAAATGGAAGCTGAATATAATGTATCTCTGTTCATATGTATTTACAAGTACTAAAGAACATGGTATAACATGTATGGGGTATATATGGGGTAGTCTGTTTTGTGTTGGCCATAGGAATTCTATGTTCTTAGCTGATAGTCCAGCATACAAATTTAATAATAAATAAATAAAATAGTAGAATGGAGTATAGTATTTGCAAACCTGTATTTGTGTTTACACCTTGAAGCGTTTTGAAGCCACAAACTTATCAGTGTGTGTCTGTACATATTAATACAAACAGAATATAAATTAACAAATGTAAACCTTTTTGCTGTAGAATTACAAAATACATAATGCAGTAAGATATCCTCTTTCATTAAATAGTCTTCCTGTGAGTTGTCAGTGCATAGTGTTTCACTGTAGAAGTTAATGTAATTGTTTTGGGGGTGTTTATCAAAGAAAATGTAGTTTATGTGGACTATAATAACAAAAATTAGGACTTCAAAAATAATGTAAAGTTTGAAGATTTTTTTTTATATCATTGACTTCTTGTCCCTTCTGCTACCAGGTTGTAGTTCCTGTTCTTTCCAGTAAGAAAAATAATGGATCTTGGCCACATGTTATTTCCCAGGATATGGAGCGGCATATAGAGATAATGAAAAATAAGACCTATGTTATGAATGGAATTGTGTCTGGGAGAATTCTTCTTCCTCTTCCAACAATTGCAACAGAGACGGAGTTGCAGGATATATGCACTGAAAATAAGTGAGTACTATATACCTATATGTGTAAACACAGCACACAAAGATATCAGACTTTACGTTCTGTCAAAATATATATTTTGGGTCAAGTTGCCATCAGTGTTATTAGTGTGGTATCAGATAAAAAGATTGCAGAGTTTGTATATCCGTACCACAAATCAACTGAAAGAGCAGCTACTTCTTGATTTTCAAAATGCCCTTGTGATGCTAATATCATCTCAGAACATATACTTTACTTATCCCTGCAAAGAAAAATTCTGTCTATTTAGTGTACTTTAAAAAAAAAAATTGAGAATTGCTTAATTCATCAGTTAAACAGAGAACGTGATAAGATATTTAAGCAATACCATCTATTATTGGATCAGAACCAAATAATAAAAGCACAGCCAGAATATATAATTCATCAGTTAAACAGAGAACGTGATAAGATATTTAAGCAATACCATCTATTATTGGATCAGAACCAAATAATAAAAGCACAGCCAGAATATAGTGCAGTTAGTTTCAGTGTCATTTTCAGCATCTCTAAGAATGGGAAACCATTCTTTATTCTCTACTTTTCAGGCAGAATTCCCAGATAAGGTCAGTACTGCATGAAGTAGAGTCAATGGTTATCAAGTGGTCACACCAGATACGAAACATTTTGGAAAAGACTCAACCTCCTTTTAACAATGTTCATCCAGATCCTCAGAGTGAACTTAAGTTTTGGAAAGAAAGAAAAGACAATCTCTTGTGTATATATGATCAGGTAGGTAGCTTCTACTCTAATAATAATTTGTGACTTGTTCTTTAATAATATGTACTGGAGGAGAAAATGAAGATGTTAATTTCTGATCAACAGATGAACTTTGGGGGTGCAAATTAGTCTATAGTGGCTGGGGGCATTCTACAGAATAATTTATTGCAGCTTGCTTAGATGTGTACATAGCTTCACAATTTATTTATTTAAATAAATTATATATAAATTTATAAACTTCAGTCGGTGATTCTAATCAGTGTGCAAAAGCAAAAGCTGCAGCTAATAAATAGTAGCTGTAATAAAATACAGTAATACACAATAAAAACACTATAAATATGATTAAAAAAAACCAATATTACATTCCTGGCACAAGGAGTTCTACAGTACAAAATTCCAATGATCTTCCAGAACAGCACAGTTTTAATGAGCTTCTGGAAGGCCATGAGGGTAAGATCTTCTCACTCATGTATAGTTTAAGAATGAGATTTCAAAAGTGGTACTACTAACACCAACATTCACAAATATCTTGCTTGTTCTGTACATAGAAAGGCATCCACTACAAGACGATGTGACTTTCCCATTTCCTAAACATGCTGGATTAACGGATGGCCATTAGTGTTCTCTACAGTGGCGATGCATGCATTTTGGGAGAACAGGTTATGGATAGATTATCATGGAGATACCTATCTATGTGGTCACTAGAAGTCAAAAGTGACTTGATGGCACATAATCAACTACTGTTCTCAGTTACATTCTAGAAATTGGCCAGACATATTATCCAGCAAAACTTTGGCAGAAGTTCCAGAACATGCACTCAAACACACAATATGACACAAGTAGATAAGAATCTTTATTGCAAACTAGTGAAGCCATGTAAAACAGTTGATTGCCCTCTGTCTAAGTGAGGATGCAAATTCCCTCTTATACCCCAGGGCTGCTCAAATCAGTTGCCACTTCTTTCCTCTGTATTTAAATGAACTCTTCAGTGCACTTCACTGCCTTGCAAATGAGCAGCTGTTAATTGTTTTAAGTGACCTCTGGCTCTTGGTTGAACTGTCACATAAACTTTGCATTTGTTTAACCATGATAAAAAATCAACCACCATTGGCTGATTTAAGAAGTAAAATGTTAAATGTGGGACCTATTAGTACACAGTGGCCACCAGACCCCTTGTGGATTAGCAGGTTGATATGGCAGCAAGCGATCTGTACACTTTAAATTATGCTTGGTTGCAAAACGGAACTCAGTGAAGCTTCTTTAAGTCTAACACATATATCTGGAAGATATTTTGAGTCAGCTGATTGCAGTCAACCTATTTGGTTCATACTAAGGCTTGAATAATTTTGATAAAGCAATTATGTCCATAGGGGCCATAACAGGTAAAATTGCACACTTTATCTTTATTAAAAATTAATTGATAAATAAGACTTGCAGTGACAAGAATTAGTGCAAAAACAGCCCTTTTGGGGGGAAAAACAGCCTTTCTGGCCATCTATCCTTTCAACTATTTCTATTTGAGAATACGTAGTTGAAGATTTGAGCATGTTAGAATGATTGGCATTTCATTCTTAAGTTTGTATAGGGCCATTTATGAAGCTTGACCTTTCCAAAGTCTTTTTAAATTCACCTTGTCATGTGGCAAATGCACATGATATTTACTAAAGATCTTTTTCGATTCCAGCTTAAGAGCCCTATTGTTCAAAAACTGATTGGGATCTTAAAAGTCAAGATGAGCAGTTATTATCCAACTTTTCAGGATATTTATAAGGATGTAGAAAATGGTAAGGCTTCTTTGAATCAAATTAACATATTTATATAAATGTGGACCAAATGATGTTGGGCTCAGGCGACAAGCCAGTTGGTGAATTCCTGTCGCAACCAATGGATCAATATAAATAAAAATGTGGACAGAATATATTTATCAAATCCATGTTTTTTGCTGTATCATAATAATTTTGCATTAAAATATTGCTTTGGGAGATATTCTGATTAAGTCAATCAGTCTTATATGCCATACTTCACTGTGTTAATTTTGGATATTTCCCTATGTATATAATTAAAGTAACATATTGTGTGTCTTGTAAACATTATTTTGAAGCTGTCACTTGTAGACAATCTGTTTCTAACATAAAAATGGTTTTAAAATGTTTTGCTCATTTTTACATATTGATTAAATGAAATGTCAATGGAAAATCATTAAAATACATGTTATTTTTATAAGGTACTGTGCTCCAAAAGAACTAAGCAGATGATTCATTTCCACATTGCTCTCAGGCAGAACATTATATCATTGTCTTTTTTTGCAGTTTGAAAAAAAAATGCACACTAGTTTGTAGCTGCATGTTAACCTTTAATCAGGAAAAGTGCATTTAGAATTTTGAAAGTATGTTGTGGCTGTTCTCATACAATGATTACCAAGCAGTTTGGCCAAGCGTTCCACAGGATGCTTTCTATGATGCCAACTTAGCTATTTGCAGGATGCAGATAATTTTATTTCCCTGTCTCCTTGTGTTACTGGAGCCAGGTGAAACAGGGAGCCTAATGGTCTTGGAGTAGCATCTTTGGCCAGGTTGATTACTATCCTTGGAAGATTATCATTTTCTTCCTAAATGTGAGTATCCATAAGAATACTGTATATGCTAGCCTAAGTTAAGGAACTACACTACAAAGTAGTTTCAGTTCCTTCTTTCTTCTACAGCACTTATTGAAGCCCAAGATATCGACTTATATCTAAAACCCCTGCAAAGACATATTCAGTATTTTCAAGAGACAGAATTTCCAGGGATACGTATTTTGATTCCCCCTTTGTTTCACACCATCTGCCTGATCTGGAGTCATTCCAAATTTTACAACATGCCAGCACGAATCATATCTCTACTGCAGGAATTCTGCAATCTGTTCATTCATCAGGTAGCAACATTTTAAATAATAAAATAAATGGAATGTAATAGATACCTATTTCTGTACGAACTTGTCTGACGATTAAAGTCAGGGAGGGAGGTTTACTTAAATATATCCATGCTTTTAGAGGCCCATATGTACAGCATACAAAAGAAGGATTTCTCCTACATTATTTACAATATATGAAATTTATATCATGTTTACTTCATAGGCCCCTGCAAGGGTGGGGGAAGTGAAGAAATGTGCATCATGATATATAAACCCTGTAATTTAGATACTTGTTCCAATGATGAGATACACAAGGATGGCAAGTATGAAAGATTAAGTTTGGCAAGATGAGACTGGAGTGTACATTTATCACTTTTTTGTAATGGATGTCTAAACACCACTATTTCCAATTTTAGGAAGAATTTAAAACCTTCCTTTATAGCGAGGCATTTTAAGAGGTATATTAATAATAGCACATTGTTGTGTTAGTCAATTATATTTTATATTTTAAAACATTTGATTGCATTATTTTTTTCCCTTAGGCTATATTATATCTTTCACCAGAAAATATTATGAAAAGGGAAACAGAAGAAACTTTGGAACAAGTACAAAGTGCTCTTAATACTTTAAGGAGTTTTAAGGATGCCTTTTTTAATGAAAGAAAACAAATCGCAACTTATTTCACTAGCAGTCAAGAAGTTAGATTTTGGGATTTTCAGCCACAGATGGTATTTTCCAGATTTGATATGTTTTTAAATCGCCTGGAGAAAATAGAGGTATTATTTACCATTCTATCCATTAAAATTATGGTTAGAGTATATTACTTGAAAAATTATGTGGAATTTTCTTTAATGGGAACTTTACATGACAGCAAGGCAAGTATTTATATATGTAGGGAAAGAGAAGAAAGATTATTTACAATTATAACTCCCGAAGTTATAGTTAATTACCTGAATGTGTGTATATAACTAAATCATACGCATGTATTTCCTTTTAATGCTAGAATTGGTTTTTTTTTTTAAGTCCATTAATTCAGTGGCAGAAATACCAGTGTTCTTTTAATTAATATAAATTATAGGTAGTCCCCTGGTTAAGAACACCTCGGTTACAGACTACCCATAGTTAAGAACAGAGCCTACTGTAGCAAAATTCAAGTTAAATACACAATAATTCACGTTAAATACACAATGGTTCAAGTTCATTACACAGTATTATGCAATAACACTGTTCCAGCTTATATACAAATTCGACTTAAGGACAAATCTTGGGAACAGAACTCGTTCTTAAACTGGGGACTACCTGTATTTGCATAGGATGCAGCTTTCTTTAATTCAACATTACTTTTACATAGACAAAAAGGAATAGTTGTGACCGTATGATCCAGAGATAATGGACATTTGCCAACCTAGTAAGGAAAAAAAAAGCAAAAAGGAAATAATTGGTTCCTGAGATATTGTAGAATTTAATTTATTAATGATGAGTTTTGCAATACTCTACGAACTAACAAATTAATTTTTTTCTTTTCTGCATTTTCTATTTTTCCTTTTCCTTTTATTCTTTTTAGTTTATATTAGTTTTTAGCTTTTTATTGTAATATTTAATGAAATTACTATTAAAAAAAGAATCTAAGATTGTAAAATTGGGGCTGGAGGAAGTCTGTTTTGCTGTGGCCTAAGAACTAGACCCTGGTTTCTCAGGACAGACTCACTTGTTCTTTTCCTCATTCTGTCATTCTGTTCAAAATAAATCTCCCCCTTTTTTCTGATTTAAGTGTCTGTAATCCCCCCACCCCCATACATACAAAGATAAGCTGTGATTATTATCAGAGATCAGAAAACAGCAACTCACTATTTGCCTTCGAGATGACACTGTATGTCTCAGGGCAGTCACATATATGAGCACCCAATCTACATGGGTCAAAAATATTGCCTGTTTCTGTTTCAGGAGACACTTTCATTAGATTTAGTTCATTATGACAAGAGTATTACTAATGATTATCTTTATTTTTTCAGAATATTTTTGTTACTATGCTTGAGTTTGAAAAGTTGGAGAAACTGGAATTTGGTGGAATCAAAGGGAAATATTTGAATGCTCAAATATGCAAACTGAATGAAGAATTTATCGAGTCTTGTAACACTTTTAAAGAGAAAACATATGACCCTTTAGACTACAGCAATATGGTAATCTTTCATTTAGCATATTGTGTGTGCCATTTTTATAGATAAGAAACACAAGTGTGAGGTATAATGTAAAAATGAAGTTGACTATATTTAAAGACTGATCCAAAGATGAGTAAAGTGAGAAAAGTTTGAACTTGGAAATTCCCACCATACAAAGCTTGCATTTTTTAACTATCAGTATTTGTGCTGCCTATCAAGAGCAGACTTTCCCTGTCTGATGCCCTTTAAAACTGTAGTCCAGTATTTTCTCAGACTGGAGAAGATTACTTAAGAATGTTACTCTATGGAGTACAAGATCCCAGGGATCTCATACTCTGTAACACGCCCCTGCCCGCCCACACTTCCCAGTACCTGCCTGCTGCCCTTGCCGGCCTGCCCATGCTCTCCAGTGCCTGCTTATTGCCCTTGCCGGCCTGCCTCCACTTCCAGCGCCCTCCTGCTACCCTTGCCAGCCCACCCATGCTCTCCAGCACCTGCCTGCAGCACCCCCCATTCCCCCACACTCCTTACCTGGGGCTCCCACCTCTTCCCACTTAACGACCCGCATGGTCTTGGAGTTATGACAGCAACAGGGACTCCAAGGATTGCTGTCACTAACAATGAAATCATGAGATATCATACAACTACATAGCTGAGTGATGGCAATACCAGTCCCAGATACAAGGACTATCTGTATAACATTATCAGGAAAATTATATGATGTTGGTAGATTTTGACAGCCACCAAATTCTGGATGCAATCTTGCTGCTTAAATCTGTCTGAAATAAATGGGATTTTGTTTTAATTTAAATAAATTTGTTAACATTTAGAGGCCACCCAATTCCACCAGGCTCTAGGTAGTTTAAAAATTTAAAAACAAGAAACAATATTTAAAAAAAAAAAAAAAGCTCATGCGGAAAAAACAATTCATAAGAAATAAAAAAATGCTGCAGAGGCTCAACGTCTATCCTACCCCAAAGCCTAGTAGAATTGCTAGGTCGTCACTGCCTTTCTGAACATCATCTGAGTGGGAGCCAAATGGATGCTGTTCCAATTTTCTATGTCAAAATAGAAAAACCATACATGTACGATTGCAACTTTGATTGAAGATTTTTTTTTCCCCTTCTCAACTTTAAATATTGTACTGCATTTACATATTCTGGAAAATCACTGTGTGATCCAAAGCGTTTGATACTGCCGTTCCTTTACCAGAAAATCATAGCAAATTTACAATATATTCAGAAAGTTTTTTTTAAGTGAGCCCTGTTTAGTAGAATCTATTAAATTGATATAATTTACCATAATGATTCCTGGCTTACTTGTCTGACTTAAAAGCTAATATAACTGAATGTAAGGATTGTTGCTACAACTTAAAATGAGAAGATTAAACAATAAGGCTTGATAAAACTTGCTGGAAAAATAACTTGATACAGAAAGATAAGCAAAGTTTATCACTTGTTGACCTAGTTCAGGCTATTTTTCCAAGTAAGAAGAACTACTCAGATGTAATTCAGGTATACCAATGACATAGCTAAATTATTTTAACTTCTGCTGTAGATTTGAAGTTGTTAGGGGACCCATTTTCAGATGTTAATGTACTTTGCTTTACTTACTTTTTAACATGAGATAAGCTTGGCCTGTTGAATTTGGGAATCCTCCTGCTTCTTTAAGAGGAACTCAAGACATCTGTTCCAAAGTCCTGCCCTAAAGGACTACTGCAGCTACAGTTAGGTCTACCTGACTGCCAAGCACCACTTTTACCTTTATATGAAAAGATCAGAGCAGCACAAATATTTTGAAGCCTTCAGCGTGCCTGGCTTTTTGGAGTCCTGGATATTGTTGTTACTGTCTCAGTCCTGAAAATGTTCAGTGAGCATTACAAACAAAGGGAGTTATTCTCCCTTTGTTTGCCATTTCTTCTCTATTCTAGTCTGGTAGGAAGCCCAAATGATTTGAACAGAATCCTTAGCCAATAGCATTAACTTTCTGATTTAATAGTTATTTCCTTACATTCTTTATTGATTATATCCTGCAATTCCTTTAAAAAAAAATAAATATATTTGCCATGAATTTGCCTTCTACAGGAATTTGAAGAAGACTGTGCTGATTTTAAACACAAAATTTTGGAATTTGAAAGACGTCTTGGGTCAATTTTTTGTGTGGGATTTCTTGATTGTTCAGGTTTGGAGTCGGCATTTAAGGTCAGTTACATAAATCACAATAAATGAATGTCATATTTTTGGCTGCCAAATCTATATTATAACTTATCATAATATTATAGTATTATATTCACAGTGGTAAGAGTGCAGATAAAATGCTCAGAAACACGTTTATAACAGTGGAAATTAGCTGACACTATTGGGTGTAATCTTGGAGTAATTATTTAGTAAGACACCAACATTTAAGCAAAACGACTTTCAGGATTAGTCCAAAAAAGTATTACCTCAGGTAAAAGACAAAGTACTTCTTCCTCAGTTTTACATGTAGACTAAATTGAATCTTCAACACTGAAGATAAGACATAATCTTCTGTACTAGGAGGCAGAAACTAATTTAAGGGCTGATGACTCTCCCATATATCCTCCAGTACCTCCTGCCTAAAGTCATCACCTTACTCTGTTTCATGTTAGTGCTGGAGATGAAAATTATCCTATATATGTCTTTATGTGAACATTTCCCATTTGTTGCATTGATGCTCATGGGGAAAAGGTTCTTAACCATTTGCTGTATCATTCATTTTTTGACTTAAAATGGGTGGACAACTGGGGGAGAGGGGAGGGCCACACTTTTAATTTGTTTGATATCCAAGAACTGCAGAGGGATGGCTATGATGTCATCAATAGTCAATAGCCAGTTGCAAATTTTTGTTCTTTTTTAAGAGTTTAAGTGTGTTAAAAGGCAAAATGGGCATATTAAAAAAGAACTTAAGACACCCATTTTGTTCCTTAGACACCCCAAGGCACTCAAAGTAGTGTTGAGGGCTCACAGAGATCTAAAATGACAATAGCAATAATTGGATGCAAGGTTCAAATGTACTTATATGGTTCCTAGAGAAACATCCTAATGATTATAGAACCTGCGACACTGAATTTTCCCTTTTGGGATAGAATATGTCATACACAGACATGCACCTGCAGAATGGGAAGAACCTATGCCAGCCCTAGAAAATCACTATGCTGTTTTCCTTCCTGTTGAAACCACTGGTGGGGATAGACAAAACGGTGTGAAAAACACTAGTTCAATAGGTTTGGAAGCAGTTTTGGTCTGCAGAAATGATGACATTGGGATTTTCTCAGTTATGGTTTTTCTGTTTCCTTCCTCATTATACTGTTTGAGAGGTTTGATTTAGACCAGTGTTTCTTAAACGTTTTCTTTCAGGACCCCTTCCCACTTTTAAAAATTATGGAGGACCCCAAAAGAGCTTTAGTTTTTATGGGTTATATTTATCAATATTTACTGTTTTAAAATTTAAAATTGATGCATTCATTGCCACTACCACTTCTCATAATTGTTTGATGGGAATTTAATATTGTATTAAATATTAAATTTAATATTGTATTAAAAATTTGCAAGGGCTGGCAAATAATCTTAATTTTATGGACCCCTGAAAAGGTCTTAGGGAATCCCCAGGAGTCCTCAGATCACACACAAGTTTGTTATGGACACAGCTTAACCTAGCTAGAGTCCTAAGAATGTTGGGGGAGAACACTGTGTTTTAGATAAGCCTAATAGGATTTTTTTTATTTTTTACCAGAACAAATTATTTGAATATACTCTTTAGCTTCCTAAAGTGTCCTGGGCATATATTGTCATTCAAAATCATAGTTTTAAGACTATCCATAATAATACATTCCAGGCTTGTGAGTTTAGAGAGAATTAAATTTAGCAGCTCCTGTTTGATGCTTGACATCTTGTATAATTTTGTCACCTTGACAGCTACTTCATATTTTTCAAAATAAAAGTAACCTTTTCTGCTATTGATTTTGTACGTGACAACATTTTAAAGCAAGCAGCTGCTATGTTTAACTTATTAGGCCTATTTTTATGAGAAGATGATATTTGTAAATAACTTCATTAATGTTAGCTATACATTTTCAAAATTGCTATGAAACAATCAGAATATAAATATATTACCTCTACTTAAATAAAGCATAGGAAAGAAAATCTTGGTATTTTATCCCTTGGTCCCTGAAATGATTCCAATTGTAGAATGTTTTTTTAATTGTTAGTCTTTATGATGTGCTTTTATTGCACACTGCCCAGAGTCACATTCTCTGAGATGGGTGGCGATAGATAGATAGATAGATAGATAGATAGATAGATAGATAGATAGATAGATAGATAGATAGATAGATTCCAGAGGGCTACTGCTAATGATTGTTTAAAAAATGCAATAAATTAACATGTCAATTCTGAAGAATAATTTTTATTAAGTTACTAACTTTTTAGGGAGAAGTAATTGGAAATGTAATAATTTTATATTTGATATCTGGGAGTTAAACTCAAAGCATTGATATAGGTAACAGGCTAGAAACCAGGAGCCTGTGAGTTCTAGTCCCACCTTAGGCACAAAGCCAGCTGGGTGACCTTGGGACAGTCACTCTCTCAGCCCTAGGAAAAACCTTGCCAAGAAAACTGCAGGGACTAGTCCAGGCAGTCACCAGGAGTCAAGGCTGACTCAAAGGCGCCCCAAAAAAAGAAAGATTGGGCATACCGTTCCTAATATAATTAAACATAGTTCTTTAAGCAGAGAACATGATGAATCTGAACGATCTTTCTCCTCTTGTGTTCCAACTTCCTTGATCTTAACCTGGTGCTTTTGTTCAGTTCCTGTTGCAATCAAAATGGGGAACTTGCATCCTTCAATTTAATAAGATTAATCTGGTACTGAATTACAGTACCCCCATATTGGCACATAATAGAAAACTGATTTAAAGAGCCAGGCAAATTGAAGGACCAACAATCTTACATAAGTGGAAAGAGGGTAGAAACAAGAGATGTGATAGAGGAATGCATGAATTTATTGCTCGCTTCTGGATTAAGACAAGAACGTAACTTCCAAGCAGACCCATTGCACACAATTTTACTTTTGCCATTCAATGTTTGGTTAGTTTGGGTGTCGAATTAATGGTTTTGTATGTGATTCTTTTTTTTCAAACTTGCCAAGTTAATCCAGTTTTTCCTGGAAGATAAATGAAGATCGGTGATCCGTGCTATTTAATCAAATCTGCTTATGCTTGCTTTTCATAGATTGCTCTTGATTTCTGCAGTCAGGGATTTTTGTTTTGTTTTGTTTTGTTTTGTTTTGTTTTGAAGTTCTGTTGTCTTACCAAATAGACATAGGAAGTTAAAGAGAAAACTTACAACTGTCGCATTTCACTTTTGTTACAACTTTTTTCAGACTTTCAGAATGTTAAATTGTTGCTCTACTTCTTTCTGTGCTGAAAAAAATCTGGAAAAGTTCGGTACTGTTCTCTCCAAGCTGGGAACAAGGAAGGTTGATATAATCATGTCCTTTATTTATACAGCTTATAACCATTCTTGGATCTTTTCTGGAGAAACCAGTTATTGCAGATATTTTTAGCACAAATTATAAGATTTTGCTACAGATGTTTGATGAAGAGTTGAGAAATTGTAAATACTTGTATGATGAACACCTTAAACAGGTATGTGGAAGTTTAAGAGAAAAATAGTCCATATGCATTTCTCTTAAGATCTCTTTCTGCAGAATTACCCACCTCTTCTTTAATAATTACAGGAGGAAGAGGGTACTGAAATCATAAATAAAAACATGTCATCAACTTCAGGAAACCTTAAATGGTCTCGAGAAATTAAAGCCCGCATATGGTCATTTTGGTCAAATTTCTCATTTGTTCCCCATCAGTAAGTAAATCTCTTTGGGAGTAGGAATTCTTCATGCTGGTTGGGGAATTCTGGAAGTTCACACATCTTGAAGTTTCCAAGGTTGAGAAACACTGTGGTAGAGACATTGTGTTGAAGTAAGATTCAACTGAAATTCAGATTGGAAGAAATGTGGGTGAATGGCACTCTGGGCTATATAAATATGATGTAATAATAATAATAATAATAATAATAATAATAATAATAATAATAATACTATCTTTTCATTTTCAAGCAAACATCTTGAGCCAGACATGAGTGGTGTAACTGAATACTTACTGCAAAATATTTCCATTCAAATTCCCATTAAACAGTATGCATTTTGCTGGCATCAATCAATAAGTTTATTGTTGTGACCATTTTGCTAATATGATATTTTGTCTTCCTTTTTAGAGTCATGGAAAGTTTTGAAGGTACTTTAATTTATCAGAAATATATAGAAATGTTGAGGTTACTTGACCAATATGAAGATCAGATCTATTATAAATGGAAATCCAAGGTGGATGATATTTGTCTGTTTAATTTAGATCAACCTCTGATTAAGCGAAATGATAAAGATGGTCTTCTTAGTGTGAATTTTGACCCTAAGGTATGGTATGAACATTTTAATTTCCTAGATATGCTGGCCTTATGAATAATATTGTAAACAAAAACGTGAAGTCCATTGAATTTAACTGGACTAGTATGTATAGAATTGCAATCCATCTTTCTTTCTTTTTTAATTGCATATTTAATGTTAAGAAACTAAATGAATTCTGTTTACTAAAATTATTTATCGAACTGTATTGCTAGAAGGAACAATTATTCATTCAATTTATATTCTGAGTTTCTAAATTCCATTAGATTCATTGAGAATTGGGAGACTCTCATCCAAGCTAGTTTGGCCTCCAAGAGAAGAAGCAGGATATAAATACATTAAATAAATAAAAACAAAAATGAATAAATTATGAAATTTAGATTACTAGATTAATTTAATTTAATTTAATTAATTTAAATTAATTAATTTAATTAATTTAATCTAAAGCTTAATTTAAATAATATTTAATATTTAAATAATCATCATCATTAAAATTCTCTAGCATTGATCATATTTTTGTTGAGTTGTAGACTTTACAGTAGTAATGTAGTGATAGTAATATATAGTGAGTAGCATCGTTCTTGTTAAATCTAATGGTACCTGGTATTTTCAAATGTGACAATGCTATAAAGCTTGCTAAGTGAGATCTAACACATTTATCCTTACCTTTAGTCATTAAAATTCCTTCTATGGCGCCTATCCAGTCAAGTAAAATAGTGTACATCTGAATATCAGTGCTGGGAGCAAATGATAGGAAAGTACTCATACCCTGATTGTAAGCTCCTAAAACACATTCAACAAACTGTTTTTAGAATCAGAAATGCTGGATTTGACAAAGGAAACTCTCTTGGCCAAGATCATAAATTGAGGCCTGTGTGGAAATGGGGGCTGAGCCATAAAAAATTACACCATAAATCTGCTCAATTAACTCCTTCATTTAATTTACCCTGAAACTCCCTTTGACTGTGAAAAAAAATTCCTCTGGTCCAGCCATTGCAAATCAATCTTTCCTCTTTTGTGCTTCCAACCTATAATGTTGTATTCTAGCAAAGAAAGTACAGTACATGAGCATCTGCATGGAGACATGAGAGTGGTGGGGAATGATGACACATGTGTCACAACATCATTGTGCAAATGACAAAACTTCCATACTTGCATCATATGTAATTGTCATTTTCATAATGATGCCACAATATACTTGTTACTATTTTGATGTCGTCATGCTTGTAACAGCCAGTTATGGCATGATATGTAGCAGTTGTCAACCTGCAACCAATAAATGATACAACATTTCACCAGCCAGCTTATGCCAACCAGTTTCTTCCAGCAAGCCTTCATGTATTTTATAGCACTGGCATGTCTCCATGCAGACAATGGTGAACAGTGATATAGACATACTGTACTTATACATCACACTGCCCCATTATTTTTTAAAAGTTGTTTTATTGAATAAGTCTCAGTCAATTAGATTCCCACTAATTACAATTAGATTTTTGCTAACTACAAACTTAACGAACTACAGCTACTGCATTCGTGTAACAGAATAAGTCACCAACCAAGAAAACCCTATATTGTACCAAAAATCACATTTGTATCTATGTGCATATTTTATTTATTTAAAAGGCTTATATGGCTGCCAATCTCACTGTATGACCCTGTGTGACTAACAACAGTTTAAAACAGCAAGATAATGTAAGAACATAAACAGTGCCCATCTAGTCCAGTAGTCTGTCCTTACAGTGGCCAGCCAACTACACAAGCAAGACCTTCAGAGGCAGTCAGAAGGCTAATAGCTATTGATCCCCATTGCTTGGTACAATCATTTTTTGAAGCCAGTCCAACTGGTAGCCAGCACCACATCTCTTGGTAGTGATTTCTAAATATTTTTTTTCACAATGCGCAAAAAAACCCACAAATAAAATAGCTATAACAACAGCCAATATGATGTCCGCTGTTAAGATATGACTCAAAATGCCCCAAAACATTGAAATCATCATATAAACCAGGCTCACTAAACATCCTGGCCCAGCACTTGGGAGAGCAGCCCAGCCCAGGTCTTGGGGGAACAGCAGAAAGCCATCAAGGAGCCCTTCTGGGTCTTGGAGGAAATTTTGTTCCACAGGGTAAACACCACAGCATTGTGGTGCAGCGTTTCAGCAGCATCAGGTCAATACTGTGTGTAGGACTGAATCTAATATCATATGACATGCTTCCTTGCTTCTGTTCTATAAAAAAATATTTTTAATCTTAATTATATTACTGCTTTTTAAAAACAATTTAATGCATGGAACTAAAGCACATCTGTAGAAAGCCACTCCATTTTATAGTTCTTTCACTGGTGACAATGCAAATTGAAGAAGAACCCTGCGAGATTGGCTATTTCAACTGCTGCTACTTTACTTTGAAGATTCAGAACAAAGCAGTTGTACCTGCTGAGCTGTTTTGGTGCTGTGGTGATAGTGGCTGCTGCAAGAAAGGTGTGCCTAGAGTGCATGCCAGCCTAAGTGCCATGTTCCGGTGGTTCTTTAGAGCAAGGCACCAGAGGAAAGTGTGGGTCTCTGGAGCACCTTGGTGCCTCAAAACAAGTTATGGGTGAAGAAAGACACAGCAACATTCTGGATGCCAATGTCTCATTATCACAGCACTCAGATAAAGTGTTGAGGCATCCCGCTAATTTGCCAGCAGTGCAGCTTGGTGGTAGGTGGGAATCTGGCCCCAAATGACTACATTCCCTGACCATCGTTCAAGAGAGTAGATTCATTCTGCCTGTCTTCAGTGGGCAACTAGTTAGTCTGGGGAAGCCTACAACCAAGAGGTGGTCAAGATATTACCTTGTCTTTTTAGAACCTGAGGCATCATATCTCCAATCCCAGAGGTGACAAATGGCCACTGTTATAACTATAGTTAATAGTAATCTTAAGCATATATTTAACCAGTCCTAATTTAAAGCCATCTAATGACCATAATCATATAGGGTGGTAGTGAATTTCATTGTTTAAAACAATGCCCTGCCAGGGCAAAAATCTTTCACTGGAAATATAGACTGAATCAGCACCTAAAAATAAGTGGTATTTAGAACTAATTTATCAAATATATTTTGTTTCTTAAAGCTTGTAGCTGTTTTAAGAGATGTGAAATATCTCTTGCTTATGGATCAGCCCAATATTCCAAGTTCAGCATTAGAATTATACAAGAAGAGGGGAACATTTGCTAAGGTATGTACCTTTTAAAGTCTGTAATTATTCATATTTAGCTTAGATTACTTAAGTTTTTCCTTTTTTTCTTACTAATAGATCTTGGTGTCCTCCAGATTAGTGGACTTAATCTCCCAGCATTCTCAGCATTGGACATGCTGATAGGAAGTTCTGGAAGCTTAAATTTACATAGAAACTGGAGGACATCCAGGTTGGGGAAGGTTGGTCTACATAATTTAGTGTTAATGTAGTACTCAAATGCATTAAACCATGTTGAGAAGACTTTCCTTCAGTATTATGGCATGGGTCAGGGATAGAGAACATCTGGCCCATGGATCTATATCAGTCCACAGGTTGGCTGGATCAAACCATGTAGCCTCAGAGAAGTTTATCCCTACAATACTGGTCATAAACTGATCCTGCCAGCTTTTCTGAAACAGCACAGACAGGATTGGCTCTGTTTCAACCACATCATGCCTTTCCCCTCAAAGAGAAAGATGAGAAGCAGACAAAGCTGACTGTTGATGGAACCATTCCTAGACTGGAATGTACCTTGATGGCAAGAGCCATGTGCCAAGTGAAACTTTTTTTCATTTCTTTTGCCAGGGGAAAAATAATTAATGCTATATTGCTGGATTGATAAAACTTCTCCCTGACATCGACTGAACACTAGGTGAAATCAGGGATTGTTTCAGCTTCCAAACTGAATCTAGTTCCCTGTCATGGATATTTAATTTCCCATCTTACCTGCTGTGCAACTGTTTGAAAAAAATATTGGGCTATTATTGTTTTACATATAGTGATCTTAATTATGAGCTATTTATGTATAATAATTCTAGCTAAAATAGTTAAAGGGTTAGAGACAAACTTAGTCTCAAGGAATGGGGAAAAGGCTGGAAAGATGAAGTAGTAATTCAATAGTGTGAGTGACTCCTCCTTCAAAAACCAATTATTAGATCGAAATTGGTATGGCTTTTATGGGAGACACTTAAACATGTTGTGTTTCTTTTTTCTATATAAACAGTACACAGAAAATCTTGAACTTGTGGTCCAATGGTACAACAAAATTAAACAGACTGTTTTGGAGGTAGAATACCCTCTTATTGAAAAACAGCTGATAGTTGCTGATGATCAGCTAAAAGAAGCAGAAGAAAAGCTCACGTGGCAGGAAGAAAATTGCTGGGTATATATTGAGTGTGTGAAAGCTAAAGTTCATGACTTGGAGCAGAGACTTCAAAAGTCAAAGGACAATATTAAGACCATCCAACAAATTATGAAGTCTTGGATGGAGCAGCCTTTCTTTTCTAGAAAAGATAACAGAAAAGAAGCTTTGTTAAATCTAGAAGACAAAGAAGACCGACTTGCTAAAAAATTCCTGTCTTTCCAAGAAGATGGCTGCAAGATGCATAAACTTGTAGAGGTAATATCTAGTACAAGTTTTCATGAGAAGAGAATATTTGATTTGATTTCTGCAAGCGATATACACACATCTCTGCCAATGCATAAATCTATTCAAATCTATCTGTTCAGTTCAGAGTGAAAAATGTTGTTTCAGCTTTTCATGTCATTTAATACACAAACATTAATTAATCTCATATCAGTGAGATTCATTTGGAACTGGTTGAAAATTATCCAGTTAATTAGTTTTTTAAGTGGAAATTGTCACAACAGTAGACTTAAATTACCTATTTTTGGGTGTGTATTTTTAGGAAAACCTAATGCTCTTTAAAGCAGACCCAGATTCAGATTCTTGGAAGATTTACCTGGAGTTCATTGATGACATCATAGCTGATGGCTTTTTTAATGCCATAATGTATAATTTAAACTTCTTCTTGGAAAACACAGAAAAAGCTTTGCAGCCAGCACCATTATTTCAGGTTCAGATGATCCTAAGTGCTGTAGAAATTGAATTCAAACCTTCACTGGACAAGGAAGCTGGTGATGGCTTTTATGATCTAATAGATGAACTTTTAAGCAATATTTTCAAAACATCTGCTCAAGTGAAAAGAATAGCATCACATCTTGAAATACAACATTACCAGGTAATATATTTTGTTAAAAGAAAAATCAAGTGCAAGACTGTATGCACTACACGTGTAGTTCAAGAAAGGAATAATCATACTAAGTTTTGGGTATAATTTTTCCTCCCTTTTTTTGTTTAAGAATGACATGGATGGTATATCAGAGCTATCCGAGACCAGGGAAAAGATTATGAACAGAGTGGTGGATGTTATTACCAAAGCCATGAACTTCAAAAACTCTCTCGACTGTTATGCGTATCTCTGGGTAGATGACAGATCAGAATTTATGAAACAATTTCTCTTCTATAGTCGTGTATTGACTTCTGAAGAAACAGAGACTCCTACAGATGTTGGCACATCTGATCAACACCCAACTGCTGAGCAGTTTAAAGAACAGGCAAGAAGTGGATATTTCTGTCTCATTTAATATTCAGAATCCTTACTCCTTCCCCTCCAGTATGAAATTAAGCTTTTGCATATTTTTAATACTTATGTATTGTAGATTGACATATATGAGAATCTTTACATTCAGATGAGCAAATTTGAAGACTTCAGAATTTTTGAAGGCTGGCTTAAAGTGGACTTGAAACCTTTCAAACTTAGTTTGCTAAATGTTATTAAGAAATGGAGTTGGATGTTCAAAGAATACCTTGTGAGATTTGTCACTGATAGGTAAAATCTGTTTTGGTAAAATTATTCTATTTTACAGGCTGGGGTGGCGTGTGGAGGGGGGTATAAGTGAAAAGTTAACCTGTGAAATTCAAGGGAAAATAGCGATACAGGACCTCAAAGCCCAATTCTAGCCTCATCCTTGTCGACCTTTTAAGCTTGGGCTGCTCAGCATCCCTCAAAGTCTTGTACAGGTAGTCCTCATTTAGTGACTGTGTCATTTAGCAATCATTCTCAGTTACAATGGTGATGAAAAAGTAACTTTAATACCAGTCCTCACATTTATGACCTTTGCAGGTCTGTAAAGCAAAAGAAAGTTGAAGTAAGATCATAAGCTCAGTCACCGTTTCACTTAGTGACCACTTTACTTAACAACCAAGTTGCCAGTCCCAATTGTGGTCACTAAATGAGGACTACCTGTATCTAAATCCCACCAGAAGTTGCCACAAAATGATATTGTTAATGTGGTAGGAGAAAATATTAAATAAAAGGGAAGTAATCATCTTAATTATTTGACTAACTATTCAAAATGAATTGAATTTTCTGGGTCCCATATACTTCTTTTTCCAAATGTACTATTTTAAGTACAGAAGATGAACTTCCATACTAGGGAGTATACCAGTGAAAAAATTGGTTTCAAAGGCTACACGTACATATAGTCTCCAACCTCTAAGTCCAGTCCTCCACCTCAGTCTTTGAACCATGGAAGGTATAATAACCTTTACAGCCTAAAGGATTCTGTCCAGATGCAAACTTACTTTTGGAGGTTCAAAGCCAGCTGGGTAAGATTGGACCATTCCCTCTCTCTCAACTCTAGGAAGAAGAAGGCAATGGCAAATCATTTCCAAACATGTTGCCAAGAAAAGTACAAGAACTTATCCAGGCAGCCTTGATCCTTTGAGTCAAAAGTGACTCAAAGGCACACATGCACCCCTTTTGTTTACATATAGTAAACAAAAATAGTTGAAAGGGCATTCATATATGAAAAAAAAAATGACTACCACAAACTTCTCTCTTTCTTTTCCTCTTATAGCCTAGCTGACCTAGAAGAATTCATTAAAATGACAAACCTTGGATTCCAAAAACAGTTATCAGAAATAGATTATAATGGACTCATAGATGTTATGATTCACCTCTTGGCTGTCAAGGATAGGCAGTCGGCTACTGATGAACTTTTTGAACCTCTAAAAGATACCATTGTACTCTTGGAAAACTATGGGCAGAAGATGCCAGATCATATTTATGTTCAAATAGAGGTATCCTCTATGTTGTACTCTTGATTCCAAATAGAAGCTCTGTATTTCTTTGAAGCTAACTTTCAGTCATCCAAAATGTTACTGAGACAAATGCAGAATAAGCAGAAAAAAGATCCTGTGAACTGTACTTTTAATATTATTTGGTGGCACCATGGAGGATGGATGGCAAGATGGTCATATAGAGGTATCACTAAAGTAGGTTGGGTGGGTGACATTTTAAAGGATTGCTTTTGTCTTGAAAAAGTAGCTTATTACGTTTTCACAATTTCCCTTTTCTTCTCCTGAAAACGGTGTGAATTTTTACGTCTGTTTATTGATGTGTTTCCATTAAAATTCAGTGGCATGATCTGGGAGCCTCAAAAAAGAGGTTGAAGAAAAGTATACAGGCCACAGCCTGTGATTGTCCATCCCTATTTTCCATCATTGATTTCTAAGATCTTACATGGGCCTCCTATCTTTCAGTATGACTGAGGGGGAGACCAGCATTATTTGTCAGATATTCCACCTTCCTATATTGAAGGTGCTGTGACTTGTTTTTAAATGAGTTTTCAAAACAAGTGAAGAATTAACATTAATTGTAGTTGAGTCTGAGCCAGGCAATTTTATATGCTTTATGTACCTGTCATCTTGATATTTATGGCAGAGTATCCTAGCTGTGTGGGAACAGCTCGTGAGCATCCACCATGCAATTGGCAGAATGTGAAAAGGGACTCTAGCTAAGCTGTCTTTACATGGTTTGTTCTTTGATCTTTTAGGAATTGCCTGAAAGATGGAATGCCACCAAAAAACTTGCTGTGTCTGTAAAGCATGAAGTGGCTCCTTTTTTGACTTCTGAGGTCACTATTCTCAGAAAAAAATGTGCTGCTTTTGATGTAAGCTGAAATTACATTTTTTTTTTAAAGCAACACCCACAGACATACTTTTATGAGGATGAGATTGGTGACATAAATTTATTGCCTATGTTTCTTTCAACAGGGGAAGCAGATAGGATTCAGAGAAAGATTTAGAGCAGATGCTCCCTTTCATTTTGATGCCAAAAAACCATATGCACTTCTTGATAAGGTAATGGAGAAATCTTAAAGGTGCATGTGATGCTGATAATCTCTCATTACAAAATGGAGATCTCTATTTACATATCGTACAATTTGTACTTGGCATTAATATTTTTTTTTTCCGGCTGAGCTTGACGTGTAAGTGTTATATTATGTGAGCTGGACAGCTTAAAATGTGCATGATTGTTTCCCTGAAGGTGCTCTAAAAAGAGGACAATATGTCTGCATTAAAAAATACATCATTTTTTGAAAAACAGCTTTAGTATGTTTTTTGTGAAGTGATTTCCCTTCTGTCTGGTTTTTCAGGTGTTAGCTGAAAATTATGTTAAATTGAACATAATTTTCTAATTGACTTCAATAGGATGAAGGTTAGAATTTTTTATCATAAATCAAAGCAGCTTCCCTCAAGCTAATGTACTTCAGATGTGTTGGAATACACCTCCCAGTAGTCTTGAAGTTGTGTTGCAACACACCTGGATGGCATCAGGTAGGCAAAAGATGCTCAGTCTTCTGTAAGACAGTATTAATGATTTGTTCATTCTAGCTTTATTCATAGTTAAATGAACAACTTAATGAAAAATAAAATTAGATAGTTATTTCAATAACAACTAAAATATATAACTACATTATACGCACAAATTCTGGAGGGGTGTGCACTGATATATGGCTACCTCTGTATAAATCTAGAGAGGTGGAAATTGAGATGATGGAAATTTGGTGTTTCTGTGGATTTTGATCCATACCAGCTGAAGAGTTGTCCCATAAATGAACCTTGTTTGTCTTTTGGAACTTAGAATAATAAAATGAAATATGGACTATTCAAAAGTCATACCTATAAAATATCTCCAGTATGTAATTCCTGTTGCCTTCCGTGTATACTGCTTTGAATTACAAGCAGAATTTTCTAATATTTTCCCTTTTGAAGGCAAATCAGGAACTGGAAGCACTGGAAGAAGAAATGTTGCACCTACAAGAATCTGCCAACCTTTTTGAAGTGGTTATTCCAGAGTACAAACAAATGAAACACTGTCGCAAAGAAATAAAGTTGCTGAAGGGAGTGTGGGATATTAATGTTTATGTCACAGTAAGAGTATTATTTACTTCTCCAAAAGCATTGTAAACTAGCTATTTATTTTTATTATGATTTTATGTATATAATGCTTTGAAGTGCTTTGAGATTTTAGAGGCTCTCATACTTTAACATAAATAATGAAGTGTAAATATTGAACTGTCATTTTAGAAGCAGAATTTAGGTTTTTTAAAAGTTTGAACTTAGACTGAGTTAATACACTGAAAAATGCACTTAAAAAAAAAAAAGCTTTATTTAAAATGCAAAATCCCATGAATGTGATTTCTGTATAAAGAAAAGAAATGAAAAAAAGAAATGAAAAATAAGTGGAAAAGACCTGGAGCAAATTTCTCCAAACTGGAAAGAAAGAATAATTATTATTGAACTTTGAATTTGGGAGGATTGGTTTGAAATCCAGGTCAGAGACCCATTTAGTCCAACGTTCTGTGTTATTCCAACCAGATGCATTAAGAAACTCCAAAGCAGAATATGAGGATGATAATGCTCTTCCAGTATTGCTCCCTAGCAACTGATGTTTAAATCATATTTGTGCTCTTTGATCCTGAGAGTAGCATGTGACCCTTAAGATTAATAGCCATTGGTAGTCCTTTTCTCTGTAAATTATCTAAATTGGTAGCCAACACCACATATGATTGCAGCAACTTCTATAGTTTAATTATGAATTGCATTAAAAACTTCATTTTATTAGTCCTAAATCTCCCCACATTTTAGTTTTAGTGGAGGACCTTAATTCTATGAGAGGAAAGAAATCTTCCCTCTGACTCCATTTTCCTCATCATGTATAATTGTTTTTATACTTCCATCATGTTTCCTTTTATCTGCCTTCATTCTAAGTTTAAAAGCCCCAAATCCTGAAATGTTTATTGTTAGAAAAGCAACTTTAGCCCCCTGATTATTTGATTGCCCCTTTCTGCACTTTTTCTACCTTTATAATATTCTCTTTCAAGAGTGTGACTAAAATTGTATAATTTTCCAAGTCATAGATCAGTGTTTCTCAACCTTGGCAACTTTAAGATGTGTGGACTTCAGCTCCCCGAATTCTCTAGCCAATTCTGGGAGTTGAAGTCCACACATCTTAAAGCTGCCAAGGGTGAGAAACACTGTCATAGATTTTTAGATAAGTGTATTTAGGAAAAGAAATAACTAACAACTCAGTCAACATTTTCAATGAGTTATAGAAAATGCCTGCCACTAATTTTGGAGCTACTCACTCCCAGCTTAGGCCTCATTAATGAACAACCACCACCACTCTTCTCCTTCTGCTTCTGCTTCTGCTTCTCCCCCTCCCTTTTTACCACGCCAAATAATTTGGCATTAATCTATCTCAATACTCATTCCTAACTTCAGGGGATAAACAAGTTAGAAAGCATCATTTCCAATACAAATCCTTGGGGAACTCCATTGTAAAAATGCCAGTGTACTCCTTTTCTTGTTCTTTAACTCAGTTATCAGTACCTGAGAGGATCTCCTTTTTTAACCCATGGATACTAAGCTTGTTCAAGACCTTGTGTATTGGTTCCAGAATATACAGCATTGATACTACTTAGCTTTGGGAGGCTGCAGATGGAAAGAAATCAAGGAAACTATATCAGCAAATTGCTATCATGGCAGCGAATAAGACAGTTTAACATTGCCATTCTTCAAGCCCCTACAACTTACTGTAGGTTACCTTGATTTTGTGTCTGTGTGACTATGAAAGTATTTTAATGTGTATCTTTGTCAAATGTCACTGACATTTCAATGCTTCTGTTTCAGAGCAGCATTCATGATTGGACTAAAAGGCATTGGAGAGATATTAGCATGGAGCAGATGGAGGTTGAGCTTAGAAGATACACAAAAGCAAGTATTACAGCTACCACTTACCTTTCCCCCATTTATTCTGCTGCTTTATCTACTGTTCTCTTATATGTGATTAACTTCTGTTTCTCTTGTAAACAAATTTTGAATTTTTCTCCACTCTCGCAAAATTTCATACAAGATTACCATATCTGCACGAAAGTTTAGCATTCTTGCACACAAGCACTTACAATATTTTATTTTTAAAAAATGGGGAGGCTTGGTTAGTACTTTTTAAATGTAAGCACTGTGATGCCAAATCTTACAATATTTTCTTACAGGTGGTCCTCAGTTAACATCCACTCATTCAGCAACCATTCAAACTTACAAGAGTGCTGAATGAGTGGTACTTACGAGCAGTCTTCAAAATTCTGGCCGTCATAGTCCCCCCACGGTCACGTGATTGTGATCCAGGTGCTCAGCAACTGAGCTGGATTTCTGACCATCACAGCATTCTGTAGTCATGATCATGATTTGCAACCTTCCCTGCCAGCTTCCCACAAGCAAAGTCAATGGGGAAGCTGACAGGAAGTTGGAAGTCATGGTTACATGAGGTCCTCGCTTAACAACCTGTGGTGATTTGCTTAATGATGCTAACTGGGGATTGCCAGAACTGCCATTGCTAAGTGGCACGGTTACGTGACATCACACCTTACGACCGCATCACTTAGCAGTGGAAATTCCAATCTCAATTACCATTGTTAAGTGAAGACTACCTGTCATTGGATTAGCTGATGCTAGATGACATAAAGTATTAAAGTAAAGCTTTTCCTTAGGAGATATGGTCATTGGATAAAGAGGTTCGTTCTTGGAATGTATATACAAGTCTGGAATTAACTATTAAGAACCTTTTGACATCACTAAAGGTCGTAACAGAGTTGCAGAATCCAGCAATTCGAGACCGACACTGGAATCAGCTCATGGATACAATAGGAGTAAGTATTTTTCTAACTTTGTTGGAAAGATCTCTTGATATTTCATCACATCTTACATACAAATAAGTAGGAAAAAAATCATTTCTTGATTTCTTGAATCTCTTGTTTTTTTTAAAAATAGCTCCATTAATGTTATAATTGATATTAATAATTTTGAGTAGCAAGCCTGCCCTCTGAATTTTCTCCCAGCATCTGAGTGGCTCCCACCCTACTTGTGTTTCAGAAGGCCTTGAAGACCTAACTCTTTGTGTAGGATACATGTAACCCGTTCCAAGCAGTGGGTGTGTGTTTCGTTGCTCAGTTTTGCCATCTTTGTACAGTGTACAAATTTAATTAATTAATTAACTAAAATACCACTGCTTATGAGAGAATATTTGTAATTCAGCATGGAATTCAGTCCACCAGTTGCTCCTCTGCAAATTCTATAGAAGGAATTGAAGAAGAGCATGTTATGTTGCCGACTGATTCATTGTAATAGTTTTACTATGTTTTATGTGTTTGATTCTGCTTAGTGGTTTATTTTGCTTTTTCAGTGCTAATACATTTATTTTAGGCTTTTGATGTCTTTTGCTTCAAAATGATAAGAAATTGCATCACCAATTAATTTTCCAGCATTATTAAAGGAATATTTGTGGCCCCAAGTTTCTTTGTTTGTGTGTTTGTTTATTTGTGCATGAATGTATATACAGGCCACTCCAATCATGGTAGACTGAGTAGCCTACATGAGTAGCCAACAATCAGTTTAAAGCAATACATGAAAAATAAAAACTGAAATACCATAGGTATTGTGAAGCAAATAGTTCATATGCAGACATTCTTCTGCAGGGAAGAATAAGATGACATACCAAAGGGACATCAAAAGAACCAGATCTTTATAGGTTCTCCAAAACTCAGGTGCATGAGGTGCTCATATATTCATTAAAAGTACACAGTGAATACATAGTCAAGTATCTGTTGCTTTTCAAATGTATTTTTCAGATTCAGTTTTTCATAACTGAAGATACAACTTTAGCAAATCTGCTGGCGCTGAATCTGCATAAAGTGGAAGATGATGTCCGAAATATCGTTGACAAAGCAGTAAAAGAGCTTGGAATTGAGAAGGTTAATCCTGTTTCTTTTCAGCATTGTTTCCAAGATTTTATTCTGAATGTATTCTTGGATTTTAGCATTTCTGAGTCTTTTTATTTTTAAGTAGAACTGAAGAATTACAGTTTTCTCCAGATGGTTCTGTTTTAGCTAAGGTTGTTAGTCTTTCTGAGTTTGGTAGAAAATATTGTTTATTGTGATTTTGTTTCCATTTCCATTTCCTTTGGCTCAGTTATGCCTCCTCTACATTTTCAGTGTGTAGAATTTTGTGCTCTGTTTTATTGATGCGCAGTTGGGTACATTGGGTACATTTTTAAGTTCAAGTGAACTTGTTGACATTTTAGGATTTTAGATATCATTATATTAAAATGCCTTTTGAATGATGATTGGGATTATGAAATAACATTCATATGCACATTGGTGAAATACTACTAAAAAGAATTCTGATGAGATCAAGTGTATGATCAGATTAATCTTACTTTTTGCAGTGTTTTATTAATGCATACTCACACAGTGATTATGTAAGACGTAGGAAAGATGGAAATGAGTAGAATTAACTGAACTTGGATGCAAGTGGCATGTTTTCACAATCCAGATTTAATTTTGGAAGTGTTCCTACTTAAATTAAAATTCAGGAGAAGGAGAACACAAGACAGTGTGAAACAAAGATGCTTTATTAGGGAAATCCTCTCACACTTATTCTTCCTATATTTTGGGCCATTTGGTAGTTGTTTACAAACAGAGGCCTGTGAAACATTTTGACTTTGAATTGTTTTGAATTTGAAATAACCGCTTCAAGTTCATAACAGTGTTTACATTTGAAATATTTTGTAGATTTCAGTTTGCAAAGATTTCATCATATGTTAATGACTTGTACACAAAATCTATGATATTAATAGTATATACATTTGATAAATTATAGTAATACATTTCAGGTGTATTGTTTAAAATATTGATTTAAATATTGCTTTCCTCAAAATGTTTCTAATCAGTTTTTCAATATGTTAACTAGATTCTGATAGAAATTAGTCAAACATGGGCTGCTATGGAGTTTTCTTATGAAGAACATTACAGGACCAGTATTTCCTTGTTGAAAATAGATGAACAGCTTTTTGAGACTTTAGACAATAATCAAGTAAGATGTTGTTTACTAATGAATAAATGTGCTTGTTGCTGAATTACTAATGTGCTTTTTTAAAAAATGGACTAAATTCACATCTCTGTTTTTACAATTTTATTTACAGTGAATCTTAGCTGTCCCAGATGTTAGCCTGTAAAATTATATGTGTTCTTGACTGTATATGGTTTAACAAAAATTCCTGTCTGTGTAGGAGTTTGCAAAATTACAGGTCCTTGGTCTCTCTCCTTTTCTCTTAGATAGTATGGAATCATTTAATAATATGCTGTCCATTTGCAAGGTTTGAAAATGTCTTTTGCTGTGATTTACTGTAATAATAGCTTGCAGGAGATTTTTGTAAAACTTTTGTAGCTATGATTCCTGTGTCTCTTTGAGTAATTTTCTATATCCTTTAATTTCATTTCCCCCTCCTCTGTTTCTCAAGGTTCAGTTGCAAACAGTTCTGCAAAGTAAATACATTGAATATTTCATTGAACAAGTTTTAACTTGGCAAAAAAAGCTGAATGTGGCAGACTCTGTCATTTATATATGGATGGAAGTTCAACGTACATGGTCTCATCTCGAAAGCATTTTCATTGGTTCAGATGATATCAGAGAACAGCTTCCTCAAGATTCCAAGAGATTTGATTGCATTGATGTGGATTTTAAGGTTAATGAGAAATAAGTCTCCTAAGTATATCATAATCAAAATTTCCTTTTCCTTTTCCTTTTTTAGATGCAGTTTGTACCACAATTTAAAAAAACATTTCCATGAAACATATAAAGTACCTATAAAATAATGTATAATATTTTAAATAATTAACCATATTAATCTGTCCCAAAGATATCAGTTCAAACAAATAACAAACAAAATTATTCCCAAATCGTGTACATAAAAATATTTTGTGAACTATTTGCATTAAATATTTTCTTCAAACTGAATAGTTTAGAAGCAGTAAGTAACATTTAAAATGTATTTGTTCTGCCTTCCATTTCTTCAAAATGGTTATGGCATATTTCATACAGAAGTAAAACTTTAGATCAATGGATCTTTAATGAATATGGCATTTGAAACCCTATTTCAAATTCTGAATTATTGTGAAGTAGCAAGTTTGGGTGATTTTTCTTGGCCTTATGTAAGAATATCTCAGCATTACCTGGTTCACTGTGTTGCTGTGAAGTTTCAGTGCATTTTGACATTCTCAAAGAGATAAACATGTAATCAATAAGTTTATAGATTCCATTCAAATGGTAATAAATCCATTCCTTGCAACTTGAGATGTAGAAAAGGGCAAACTATTGTAAAGTGGTATTATTGAATTTTCAGTTTTAAAAGCAGTTTTGTATAAGGAAGCAATAAGAGCAGAAAACTGAGCAGTACCATCTATTACTACTTCCTGCAGAAAACAGGAAAAAGAATCTGTCCTACAGGTAAACATATCCCTGACTTTGGCTGGTATTGGAAAAAAGCTAAGTGGAATTAAATTAATTAGTATTAAGGTAGGAGACACCAAAGCATTTGGTAGAATGGAAGGTCAAGAAAATATTCTGGAAGAAGACAATGGAAACTATTTCCATAAAATTGCCAAGATAATTACATGGACATATGCATGTAATCACCTGAGTTGAAATTGACTCAAGGATTTTTTTTACTTTGCAGGGGAAAAAAAAACAAAAAACCACTAACTAGGAAGGCTAGCCCAAGTATGAAAATATTCCTCTAGAACTTCAGGCACCTTTTGTGAGGAATGGTGAAGCACATGGGAAAATGTCCTTGTACATCCATTTGTTTAAAATATTCCTATATCTCTCTTAATGTATGTGGTACTCCAGTATGATCTGGGCACTGATGAAAACAGAAACGTGTGTTGATGTGCATACTATGCTACCATTTTTGTGGGATATGGATTTTTATTCCCTGCTCCCCGAAGTGTAGCAGTTTACAATAAATATATTGTTTGCTAGGAAAGATGAAACATCTTCAGTAAATACTAAAGATGAATAATGTGTGGGATTATTTCATGAAGATAGGAAAGAAGTCAGAATTTGTCTGGCATCAGTATTGGCCATTATGAAATTGTCACAGATTTGATTTGAACTATGTAACATTGTCATTCCTATGAAATCTAGAAAATGATAAAATGGCCTGTTCACTCATGTATGTGAGCCGGTGTTGTTTTACAGCAACAGTTGTTTTTAAAATCAGGGCAACTGGGGTCAGGGTTTTCTCATGCATATTTGAGAATAACCTATACTGGTACAAATATGCTTAACTTTCTGAACATATGTTTATATGACATAGCAGGGAAATATTTTTTTCCCCTCAAAAAAGAGGAATCACAAAGATGTTTGTACACAAATCAAAAGAAATATTTTTGCTCCTGTACCTAGGAATTAATGAATGATTCAGCAAATACCAGAAATGTATTGGAAGCAACAACCAAGCCTGGGTTGTATGAAAAACTTCAAGATTTACAGCATAGGTATTGTTGAGCCTATTATTTTTATATAATATAACTAAATATATAATCATTAGCAGCAAACAGTTATATATCATGATTTGATCATTGTTTATAGAATCTCATTTAAAATATGTTACTGATTTTTTAATCATAGATTTGCAGGGCTTCATAAGGAATATTTCTACCACATGAAAAAAACTCCCACATTGACATTCCATAAATGCAGTCATTTTAATAACATGTAATGCTTCTTTACTCATATGCACTTCTCATTCACTTTAGTGGATTGCTCATTAAACAGTTATATTCATAACTGTCTCATCTTCTGAACTGAATAGAGAACTCTGTTTCATCTACATATATACGGTACATTTGAATTTCTCATAGTGCATTGGCATACCTTGTGTTTATTAATTCTGCTTATGAAGAACAGTTGCATTCATACTGAAGGAAGTCTGAACTATTACTTTCCTTGATAATGAGCTATTAAAACTGTTGTGCAAAAAAGTCATACATTCTTAAATAGAAATGTTTTCCTCCTCAATTTTCAGACTCTCTCTGTGTGAAAAGGCTCTTGCTGAATACTTAGAGACTAAACGTTTAGCCTTCCCCCGGTTTTATTTTGTTTCATCTGCTGATCTGCTAGACATTCTCTCAAAAGGAGCTCAACCCAAACAGGTAAACTTCCTTGCAATCATATCTAAAGCATTAGAAATACCATACTAGAAAGTGAAATAAGGGGATGATTAAAATCTGAGTAAACCTACAGTTTTTCAGTTGTATTCTGTTTTGTAAATGCAGGTGACTTGCCATCTTATTAAACTTTTTGACAATACTGCTGATCTTAAATTTCAAGACAGTGAAGATCAGCACAGCAATATTGCACTAGGGATGTACAGCAAAGAAAAGGAATATGTCCCATTCAGTGGACAATTTGAGTGTGGTGGTCAGGTATGTTGATTCTCTGAAGTGTGATATTTTTCTTTATGTGCTAAAGTTAGAAAATGATAAGCAGCAGTTAACAGAGACTGTTTTGACTAGGCATGAAATATATATAATGAAAAATAGCTCTCTCCATCTGTAATGCATAATGCAGTTTAAACAAGACAAAAGCAAAAACATCATTTCAGTTTGTATTTTCCTTTTTAAAAAATGAAATGTGTATTCAGAAAGGACAATGCATTTCTGATTTACCTACCTATTCTAATAAAATGGTCCTAAACACACGTAAGTGAAAATAATTACCTTTTGAGTGTTAACATGCTTAGCAATATAATTATGCTACTTTACAATGAACTTTTCATGACAACTCCTAATAATAAATATTACAGATAACTTCCTACTCATATGTGTTTTTAAAACTTCTTTTTAAAATGGCTGTTAGATTCATCTGGATAGTACGTCTACAGTATTTTGTAGCAGACAAATTTCTATTTTGGGTCTTATATATAATTTTCAAAATCTTCTTAGTTACCTCTTATTCTACTGTAGTCCTTTCTGGGAATGATCACTGGATCTTCATGTTACCAAATACATTTAATGATGGAAGAATTGGAAGACGAGCTATGTTCATACACTTCAGGCAATGGATAAGGCAATGTAGGCTTCATTTTCTGCTGCTGAAATTAAATTTCACACTATGAGCTGTCAAAATAAATATGTCATATAATTTTGAAAGGCTATCGTGAGCAACTAATACCATTAAAACCCAAAGGCAAAAAGAAAAAGTTGATTATGCTTGCTTGAGGGTCATGTTGTATAGGATCAAGTGAATGTAGCACAGTGTGATGGAAGACATAACAAAACTCAAGCATATTAAATTACAGTCATAAAATTATGTAGGTTCTCCCTTCCCAAAAAGAAAACTTGAAGAGTTTTTTTTGGGGGGGGGGGTTAGGTTATGCAGAAAATTGTTAGAATTATTATTCTCTATGTTCTTTCAACAAGTGCAATGATAGAAAAAATTCCTTATTTTATTCACAAAACTGTATTTGAATCAAATACTTGATTCAATCTCTCATGAGAGCACTTCCAGGAACATTAGTGTACTTTGGAGAGATGTGGTACAAAGTGATGCATAGATCAACAATAGAAAAACCTGATCTAAAATGGGCTTGCTCCATTGCGAAGATTCTTTCTTGGAACATCCAATCAATAAACTTACCAAAAAAAAATTAGCTTATAATTTGCTAATTATACATAGTAAGTTGATAATATGCTAGTTAGTTGGATTGGTTTTGTCGTTTCCCTGCAGATCCTCAAGAAATACATTATAATACTAATATACAAATGACCATCATACCTTCACCCTTGGACTATTTATTCTCCCTTGGGAGTTGTTTCTTCTTCTTAATGGTTTCTTGGGCCATTCCTGGGACATGCAGCTGTTACAACTTTTTCTCATTCTCAGAACTTATCTCTTGCTTTGGATAGTCTAGATCTCAAATTTGAACTTCAGCCCAGCATGACGTCTCATGTAGAGCTCACCATTTTCTCTGCTGTTCCAATCATTTCTGCCAATCCTCAGGTTTTGATCATTAATATTACCTCATAAGCACTGTACTCACCTTGTTTCCTGAACCAGTTGATTATAGTTCCAAAACCACATCCTTCTACATCATCACCCATTGTATAAGTTGGGACAAAGCACCCAGTTGTTCCTTAGAAGGTCTCTGTGGCTACAGGAAACAAATTGTAGATTGACAAACTCTCTTGGCCTTGAATTACAGCTGTCTTCTCAGGTGGTAGAAGATCTAATATATAAATTGGTTCAAGATGCTGTTGCTTCACCCTGCATCAAAGAATCCCAATGCTGGTAGCTAAATTTGGACAATCTCACCAAGGGTGTTCCCTTTACAGTTCCTCCCTATTGCATGTACTTACTATCAGTGTGCCCATGGTCAGATGGGGAACCTATCTTCAAGAATGCTACATCCAAAGTATCTGGTTCAGGCACAAGACACTATGTTACAATATATTAACAAGCTCAAACTCCTCACAGTTTGGAAGGATCTCCAATTCTTCTAGGGTTGTTTCCAGAGCCAAACAGTTCATATTGTATTAGACAAATCCACAGCAGTCTGGGATATAAATATCTGCCCATCTTCTGTACCTTATATTACAGATATGGCAGTGGTTACTCTGTAGATATATCTTCATTTAAGTGATCCATGTGCCTGGAACTGACAACACTCTTTCTGGCTACTTCATCCATAAACAGACATCCATGAGTGGAAACTACATCCATCAGTAACAATGATATTTGGGCACAAAAGTCCAGTTGGTACAATCCCAAGGTCAACCTGTTCACAACACAACCCAATGGGCAGTGCCTGATCTTTTGCAGCAGAGGTGGATATAATGAAGTGAAAAGACAAGTTGGGATGTGGAATATACTGTATGAGCACAAAACTATTCACATAGTGATAATCCATTTGCTGGTGGTGTATCTAAACTGTCCCACTGAATTGAATCCTGTAAGTTGATTGAAGTAGGACTCCACTGAAATAAAGCCAACAAATCAATTATAAGTGCAACCAGTTTTATGTGAATTGAATCCAATGTGCCTAATTGTTTGTTACCTAAAAAGGTAGAAACCTGGTTGAAACGCCTGGAAGATACCATGCGTGAAACAATGCGTTATCACATCACAGAAGCTATAACTGTTTATGAGGAAAAACCCAGAGAACAGTGGATCTTTGACTATCCTGCACAAGTAGCACTTACTGGTTCTCAAATCTGGTGGACTACAGATGTGGGAATAGCATTCAGCAGACTTGAAGAAGGGTTGGAAACTGCTTTGAAGGATTATCATAAGAAACAGGTATTGATGTTTTATACACACACACACACACACACACATACACACACTACCAGACCATACTGTATGTAAACAGGGTTTACAACTACACGTGAAAGGGAGAAAAAAAGCTGTTTGCCATGCAGCAAAACTGTAAAGCAATTGGTGAGATGGGTGGCTATATAAATCAATATAATAAATAAAAAGAACAGCTGAATGTCAATGATTTCTTGGTATTTAAAATTGCTTATATGTGTCTTTTTCAGATTGTTCAGCTAAATGCTCTTATTGCTCTACTGTTGGGTGATCTGACACCAAGTGACAGGCAGAAGATCATGACTATTTGCACAGTAGATGTACATGCAAGGGATGTGGTGGCAAAGCTTGTATCTCAGAAGGTAAGCCCGCTAGTCATTGTTTTAGATTTAGGCTGCTATTCTGAATCTGAGTCCAAGGAAAATATATTTCCTTGGACTTAAATACTTTGGCTGTTGTGCTGTCTCATAACTTCTGCGGTGTGCCTGGAGGGAGAATATACTAGCATTCATTTCTTTTAAACTGGAGTTTTCTGTTATATCTGGACGCTAGCTGAGACCCTCCATTTGCCTCATAGATTAGTATCTCCTGAAAATTCAGTCTCTCTCTGAATGTGGGAATATGGCTTGAGAACAAGTGCCTAAGGTCAAATAATTCAGAGCTAAAGAAGAAACATAACTTTACAAGCTGAAACTGTAAAAACACCCAAAAAATTTTACAATGTTTATATCTTCATCTTCCTCTATGTGAACTTTCTGCAGTGGAATGTAGTGGAAATAAAATAAGGAGTTATCTCAATGCATACTGTTGTATTTAACTTAATGACATTTCTTCTCATAAGACATCCAAAGGATTGCACTGATATTCCCCTAGCTCTAGTCATGCTAAAAGTATTTATTGTATACTTAGTACAATAAAATAGTGCATTTTTCATGAATAATAGAGGAGAGCATATTGAACTACTCTCTGCCTACTCTCATTGCCCACATAACCAACATCTGTGCTTTGTGGATGGATACCTGCTTGCATTTGCTTCTGCATGATTGGGAAATAAGGACAGTTAGGATAACATATTGCTCAGAAACAAGTGTATGTGGAGATCTATATATTTAGGCTTTCAGTCCTCATATGTCCAAGTTTACTGCATGGATATCAGGATTAGGGCTATTTTTTTATGGGGCTATATAAAGAAAGATAGATAGATTAGATAGATAGATAGATAGATAGATAGATAGATAGATAGATAGATAGAT